TAGAGAGAGTGACCTTCTCATGTGTTACATCAAGGGAGACAGACAGCAAGCGTCAAAGTGGTAATTTTCTCATGACACACCAATTTCCATAAAAATGCCAGCCTGTACTCAATTTGATGTCAGCTGCCTGCTAAACTGCAGTAAACAGAATGGCTGACATCCAAGTCAAGCTTTCCATATTGACTTTCTGGCACGGCTCTGAATTTTTAAGTTTTATCAGGGCTTCACTGAAAGCATGTAATTTACTTCATAAAAAGGCTTGAATTTCTACTCCGTCTCCTTTCAAATCCATACAACCATGATGTCATTACATATGCTGGAAGTAATCAGGTCTGCCATTCATTGTCAAAAAAGCAATGGTTACAGCTTACGGGGCAACCCTATTTTAAAGTCTGCTATCTACTTTTTATTTATTATTTGATTTCAATGAAAACAAAACTGTTTTCATGAACGTAAAATAAAACACACAAATCTTAATCTTGTAAATCTGCATTCACACCATTACCTGCTGATGTCATTACAGCAATGAGAAAACAGCAAACTCCTGTCAGTCATCACAATTGCCCTGTAGAGAGTTTGTGACGAAGGGAAACCAGGGCATGCAGTAGGTCTTTTCCTATTAATAAAGAATGAGAAACAAACTAAATAAAGCATTAGGTTTTGAAGTTTAGCTGAGACACAGATTAAATCAGACAGTAAATGAAAGCCACATATACTGCCTGTCTTTTTAAATTTTCTGTATTCAACAATTTCTCAAAAGTAATGAGTGAATGCCTGCATTTTACCATAGTAAATGCCAAATAGGGTAAAAAACATTGTGCAGTTTCCTGATGTACAAATAACACTGATGGGACATAGGATTCTTTTAGAGTTAGCCTATTCACCATAATGATACTTAACTGGTTTCAGCTATTTACTGGTTAAGAACAAAGTTCAGTGATAGAAAAAAAAAAATCAATTGTTCAAGCACTGTGATTCCTCCTTTTAAAAGACAGCAAGTAAGTATAATTTGAAAGTCCACAGCATGAAGTGATCCATGGGAGTAAGACCAAATTCAGATGGACAGAAAACCTAGCCTACCTGGGTCAAAATTACAATTTGCAGCTATATTTCTACTGCTATAAGTTGAGCCAGTAGATGACCGTCTAGCCTACAGGCCACGTACAGAGCTATTGCTGCAAATATCTCAATGCTCTCTCAAGAGCAAGGGTTTCCAGGTCTGGTCCTTTAGACCTACTATCCTGTACAGCACAATTTAATAACAAGACAACTCAAAATGCTAAAGAGAGTACATAAACGAAATTACTCTAGACTGCAGTGACATAATAAAGGTAGGTAAAGAAAAGCTAGTCTCTGCACTTATAATGTTAACATTCTGAATTTTCTTTAAAAAGAACTGGCAATGGCAACTCCAAACAAATATTTTTTAACCTTGATTTAAAGCATATTGGGGTTTCAGCACTTTTGTAGTCTCTTTGGACTTTGTTCTCATACGTGTAGCAAAAGAACTAAATGCTACCTCTTTATTCTTGCTTCTAGACATGCATAGTAGACTTGAACAAGACCTTAGAGATATAGTCATTTAATACACTAATACGTCTATAATGTACTTTATTGCTAAGTTATTCAGGTAAATCAATTCAAAAATACTTTATTAATGCCAAAGAGAGATTCATTGTTTCAGTACAATCTGCTCTGTCCTTCCTTGTAGACAGCTTCACAGTTGTGTCTCCAGTCTAGTTTGTTGTCTAGGTAAACACCAAGGTACTTTTGCTCCTCCACCACTCCTCCACCTACTCTACTTTTTCTCCCATGAAGATGATTACCTCACATACAGTGTTGGCAACGGCAGAAGGCGGGATGCAAATGGTTATAACAAAACACTGGTAAACTCTATGGGCAAATAATATGGTTGGAAACCAACTGCTAACAGTTGAATATCATGGCCGGAGCCCCAGATATGAACCTGCAGCAACATTTCAGTAAAACGTGTAATGCTGCATTGCCAATATTCTGGCTGTGTTCTTGCTAGGGCTTGGACTTCTTATAGTTTCCGTAAGATCTCATATTGCCAATGATGACTGATGGAAGAGATGGCTTATATTTCTTGTTCCTCTCTCGTCTCCTTGCTCATGCTCTGCATCAAGGGCACCTCATTTTCAGCTCAGCTGGTACTTGCGGAAATAGTTGATGTATTATTTAAGGTTTAGAGTTGTTCATTTCCTGCTCCTGTATGTAAAAATTCAACTTGCTATGGTTGCTGTGGTTACACATTATAAGAAGTATCTAAAAGGAACAAATATCAGTAAAACCTTTCCAGTAGCATTCAATAACAGAATAGAAAAACATCGGAAAAAAGAAACTGAAGCACGAATGGAGAAACTAAAATTCTTTTAAACAAGAATATCAGGGTCCAGCTAGCAGAGCTACTCCAAAGTGCAGCCACCTTAGGCAACAAATTATTAGAATATTATTTTTATATTATTTTATTTCTTTTTTTATATATATACGTATTTTACATTTTATTTGATAAGACACAGACACCAGGCATGGGACCAAGGATTTGGAACTAGAGTGATGAGCTCCACTTTCTCAGTTTTAGAGATGATGTGGGCAGGAGCATTTTTGATCAACTACAGCTATCTGATTGACTTTATATGCATACCTGTTATAGCACTGTTTCAGTAAACAATTTGAATAAATGATCTTGTCTTTTATGTGTGTCTGTCCTGTTTTGCCTGGCAATCTGGGAATCAATCGATCAATCAATGTCTAATTGCTAGTTACTAGTCCAATAGATTTGCTTTCATAAGCAATCTAATGGTTGTTGCCATTAGATTCTGTTTGGTAATTATATATGAAATTTTACAAAAAATGATTTGGGGGATAAAATTGTATGCAACAGACATGGAGGTGAAAAGGAAGGCAAGAAAGGGAGAGGGGATAAGAATTAAGGGGACAGAGACTGCAAAGGGCTAAGACTCTCAGGGCAGCGGCAGCAAGCCAGCAAGGTCTGCCGGCAACCGGTCATGCTCAAAATTGAATTGGATGAGAGTACAGGTGCCTGAGAGGCATATCACCCCCACAATCCGAGACCCCACATGGCCAGGAGGCCAAAGCCCAGCCTGACAGCCAACAGGAATGAGACAGCGCCCATATAGTACCCAATCCTTTACCATGAGAGCCATCGCCATGCCAGCACATACAGGTACCCCTAACCGGCAGGGAGTCTAAGAAGGGGGAGGAGACTGTCCCTTTCATGCTTGGGGCCTACCTGTTCCAGTAGGTAGGAGGGGAGCCAAGCATAACCTGCTTGACATTTTCACATGCATCCAGTCCCATTCACACAATCCCACCCGTACAGACAAATGCAAACACTCAACTGAAACAAACACTGGAGCAGAAACAAAACATAAACACATAAATACACTATCCTCCTATGTGTAGGGGCCAATCCCCCTAGGAAGAACCAGGTCCCAGTAATAGACTACCAGCTCTCCAATGTGGTAAAGGGCTGGTTATACTCCCAACAGTGTGTTGCAGTGAGCTTGTCAAAGATATTTTTGATTTATGCCCAACATTGAAGCGTAGTCTGTGCTATGTTATTCTGCGCAACAAGGCAAGAGGGACAATCATGAACTAGCTGTAGGTCTAGATACGGCAGAGGCGGTGAGGAAGTGGGGGCATGCTTGTGCGATAATGGAGGGACATGAGGGCAAAAAAGAGCGAGGGTCCAGGTGGAAAAAGAGTCCCAGCATTCTCGCGCACCTCACTCTTCTGGCTGTTCCAACTTCACGAGTTGTTTCCCACAATGACGGTCATACAAACAAAACAAGCTGGTAAGGTACCAAACAGGAAATACACATAGTGTGGAGCGGATGTAGATTTGACAAATCAGAGGCCTCCTGTCTGTGGTCACTTACAGTTTTGGAGACGTGCATTTGAATTCACTGCGACAGACATGAGACGATTTCGTCTCTGAGTATAAATCAGCCGTAAGGGGCAGGCAGCCTGAGCTCTCAAGACAGGGGCTGGGACTGGGTGCCACTCAAGGAAGAAAAACCCAAGTGTAGCACAAGTCTAGCTCCAAAAAACACTCCAGACACATCCCCAGGAGTGACACCTCCACCAGGACTCCATGAAACCATTCCATAAACTGGACACCCACCCTTATGATACCAGAGCAGGCAGCCAAACTATTGAAGAGCCCATCGCAGCCAATCCCAGCTACTTCAGGACTCCCACGCCCATATGTCATTTCTAAGTACCTTGTGAACCAGCTTCTGATGAGGCTTATTTTCTCAGTCTAGAAGAGATAGGCCAATTTTCCAAAAAAATAAAATAAAAATTAAATATACTTTATTAGTTGATGATGTTTTAAGTTCCATTTCAGTTTTATGTTGTAAATAACAGAGCTCTATAACATATTCAGCTGTTCATGCAAACTTTAGTTCAGTTCAATCTATATTATCCTACCTGAAATTTAAATTTAGAACATATTAGACCCAGTTTGCATTTTTTATGTCTTCTCTAACAAAGCAAAAAAACTTCTCTAATTTGTTTGCGTAGGATTGCTGTTGTTTTTTCAACGTATATAGTTTTAAAAAGTTATTTGTATAATTTAGGGAAAATCCTTATTTGACTTTTGTATATTGTAGAACCTATTTATTTTGGCAAGAATACAGGACTTCAATCTGTACTTTGAAGTTTGTATTTAACACTAATACTTTAGAAAGAGTACTTTGAACACTTCTGAATATGTGAGTTTTCCATGAATCCCTCAGAATGAGCTGTGTGTGGAGCTAATGGTCAGTTTGACGCTTAAGGGTAGGGAACCATAGGGGAGATATTTAACAGCTAGTGGGTGTGGGGCACAAACACAGCTGTGTTTAGTCGCACTTTCACGCAGGACGTCCCCATGTCCATGTGGAGGACCGTTATCCTCACTCTCTCCTCCCTCCACGTCCTTTCCTCAAACACTGCTGCTACGGAAACATAAGTGGCTGCTGCAGCAATTAGGGAGCCACGCCTGCTGAGCTCTAATTTCTCTGAATTGTGCTCCTTATATACAACCACTCTTTGTTGCTGATGAAAGTTGTATCTAGTTGCTGCAGGTCTCCTCGCCTAGAAAACGCTCTAATATCAGTTTTAATTATTCTAACATCGCGAGAGCTTACAGTAAGACCCCTCAGGGGCCGGTCTTTACGAGCAGGACATTAGAATCCCGTCGGTCACTCTGACCAGTACCACCCCAGGCGAGAGCCATGGAGTACCTCAGGTTCTGTATAGTTTTATCATGCTGCGTAAAGTTTGGAAGTTCTGTTCTCTCAGATAATGCGCCTCAAGCCCCCCCGCCTATTTCTAAAGGTAAGACATTGTTCACTTTTTGTGCCCTTATTTATTTCATTCTGCTCTTAAAGTGTGTTAATATTTGCATGGAACCGTCAGACAGATACATCTTGGTTTATGCTTAAATTATTACTGATATTAAAGGGATGTAACTGCAGCCTGTGATGCGCAGGTTGCTTACATACACAAACATGTATATGCAGCGTGATAATTACACGACTGTGTGGTTTGTCGCTGTCTCGTGTCGTTTTATGTTTTTTGGCTTCGCTCAGCTTTTATGTTACAGTTGGGAGGCTGTAAAAGTTTTAGTGCAAGAGACAGCTAATTGGAGTAGAGGGTCTTTGATGTTTTTTTTTCTTTAAGCATTATACTGGACAGTTTAACAGTATTTATGCAGAACATAAAAGCTTCGAGTGTGAAACAAACAAATAAACAAACAAAAAATATAGGCTATTGTTCATTCATCCAAAAAGATATTAAGTTTAAAAATAGATATGTGCGTATTTGTGTTGAGAAAAACACCTCCTCTTTTTGAAAATGGGCTGCTAAATCCCTGAGTCTGACTTTTATGGACCTGACTGATAATACTTTCCATGGTTGCTGGTGAATTACACCAAATTACACTTAAATCCCATCACACTCACACAGAGGTCTTGTAAAATTTTAAAGGCTAAAATGTTTAATGTTTATCTTTAGTCTGAAATACTAAAATAGATAGACTGGGACAATAACTCTTTGCCCTTCCTGCATGGGGTTTGCAAGTTAAAATGTGATAAATGACACACCAGAATCTTTATGTCATGAGTGGACTAAGATTTCATAGCTTCCTGAACAGATCTGATTTGGGCCTAAGCCAGTCACCCTTCAGCCACAGTTGCAATATCTCTGTTAATTTTACCAATACTCATTCTTGTGCTATTTGTTTAAATTCTCTTAGCACTTTTTATACTCTTCAGTTTTTAATCAAGGGCGTATAATGGGTTACTTTTGCTTTTTGAGATGAGATTGTGTGAGCATATTATCCTTAATAGCTTTTTATCTGTTGTGCACAGACTACAGATTAGGGTGAATTTTAAGAAGACTGAATAAATAAAAAAGGTTCTGAAAACCCTCAAAAGCTAACAGGTTCTCCAATTGTCACACCAATTTAGAAAATTTGAGCTATTTAAAACAACTAAAACAAAAAAAAGTCATAGCTTTTGCATTCAATACTATTTGTAAAGACTTAATATCTATACTATATTCTTTAAAACAAAACACATAGTCCCTGTTTTCTGGACATGTTCCATTTTAATAGGCTTCAATTACATCTGCAGATGGTGCCTGTCTTAGTCCACAGGGATAATGTCCAGACATTTTCAAGCGCTGGAAAAGCTCTGGACCACAGCATCTTTGACGGTAGATGCACCCCTTAGCCTTAACCAAATTTTACTTAAGCGTATAGGAATAGAGAAGCCTTTTTGTTTTTACAAAAAACTTTTAAAGAATCCGCTTGGGACATATTAAAAAACTTAAATGAGCTAAAATATGGCATCTGCCCTTTTATCTGTTGATATTTCCTGTGATTATTTATATGCTTGTCTACAAAATTACTTAGTACACATTAGAGATAATAACTTTAAATAACCTCAATTTAGAATTGACTTACTCTCTTCACATTACCTATGTATTAAGCATCTGTTAATAAATTGTAAGCACGGTGGACAGTGGGTAGCACTGTTGCCTCGCAGCAAGAAGGTTAAGGGTTTGATTCCAGGCCCAGTCTTTCTGCATGGAGTTTGCATGTTCTCCCTGTGCATGCGTGGGTTCCCTCTGGGTACCCTGGCTTCCTCCCACAGTCCAAAAACATGAATGTTTGGTTAATTGGCATCTCTAAAAGTTGTTTTTAGGTTTGTGTGTGCATGGTTGTGTGTCTTTGTGCCGTCCTGCGACAGACTGACAACCTGTCCAGGGTGTACCCGCCCTCTCGCCCATAGACTGCCAGAGATAGGCACAGACCCCACCACGACCCTGACAAGGTCTAAGCAGGAGATGGATGGACAAACACATAGCAAAATGCCTGCAGTATATTTCATTTCATAAGTTTTCTATAGTATACAATTATAGATTAAATTGACTTACTATTTTTTTGAGGGAACTTGCAATTGGAGCATACATTAAGTATTCCCGCACAGCACCATAGGACTTAAGGCTGATTTATACTCAGAAACCAGGTCGTCTGGGTGTATGTCGCAGTGAATGCAAATGTGCTCCTGCCCCTGCTGCAGACACTCTGCTGCACCTCTCCAAAATTGTCTACATCCACTCTACACTATGCGTATTTCCTTTTTGATACCTTACCGGCTTGTTTTGTTTGTATGATCATTATTGTGGAAAACAGCTTGTGAAGTTGGACCAGCTAGAAGAGCGAGGTGCGTGAAAATGCTGGGACCCTTTTTCCACCTGGAGCCCCGGTATTTTTCATCCTCATGTCCCTCCGGAGTATAACCAACCCTTTACTCGTATAGACAGGGCTGAAACAATGAATTTAATTCACTGTGATTAATTGATAAATTCGATCATTATCAAATAATTTAATAACTGAGTTATAATTAGCCATTGTATACAGACTCTAAAACATTCCTTTTGCTGAGAACAGGCCGCTTAGAGCAGTAATGAACTGTGTGACCCCTTTAAAAGTTTGCCTGGTTTGAATAACTTGAGATCACTTCAGCTGTAACATAAGTAGTTTCAACAACTGGTCGTTTTTGGGCAGTGGGTGGCCTACAGCATTCCCTCCAACAATGACCGTATCAGAAGTTATATAAAATAACTTTTTTTTTTCTCCTTACCAAATACATAAATTTTTTAAGCAGATCCTAAAGCTCACCACATTGTGATTGCTTTCCTCAATCTCTTCACCAATTGTACCCTTCTGTGATAGAATCTCAGAGATACACCAGGATTCAACAATGAAAGGAGGCAGTGGAATATGCAGGAATGTAGAGCCTAGCTGGGAACAGTGCTCATGGCTGTTAGTTTGGTGAGCTTTGGAAAGTTACAAAAATGTGGGCATGCAGACTGATGCTGTACAACCATCTGAAAGGGGCCTTTCACTTAAGTCTTACTGTTTGAACAACACTTGTGACAAAGTACTAAATTTAACATATAGGTTTTATGTTGTGAGGCAGAGACCCTGCAAAGTTTTGTGCATGATTCCAATACTGAGTATTTTACCATAACACAGATGTCAAACTGTATTTTTCTAGATATTTTGAGACTGAGACAGATTGATACACAGGTCGGCCAATATTTTGGGACGATATAATATCTATATTAGGGCTGGGCGATAATTCAATAACGATATATATCGATCGATAGACGTGTGGCGCAATAGAAAAAAAGAGGGTCGATAAAAGTTCGATAAAAAAGAAACGCAGTTTTCCTTCCTTCTCATTGTAGCCTAGCATGTAGGTTTATGCTAGTCACTGCTTCCTCCCAACCAATCACAATCGCGGACCCAGGCACGCCGTCACCAAGCGCCGCCCTCTCAAACCACAACACAGAGCACATGAAGCTGTGCAGCAAGGAGAGGCGGAGGAAATTGTTCCAAAGAAAGGTTTTTGTAGTTCGGCAGTCTGGCAGTATTTCGGTCATGGCAAGTCGGACAAAAAACAAACCACAGTCATCTGGAAAATGTGTCGGGAACCAGTGAAAACCAGTCTGATAACGAAACCAACTTTTTTTTATCATCTCAGCCGCTCACACCCGCAGGAGTACGAGCTGTGTAGGCCCCGGTGCGGCTCTCCTCCGAGGAATCTTCGGAAAATATATATATATATATATTCAGTTCTGGGCAGTTTCCCACGTAGTTCTAACAATTGAGATAAAAATGCCAAGGGGGCCAGAAACTTCAAAGTAATAACTCAGGTTAAAGCAGGAAACGGGGGCGGCGGCGGTGGGGGGTATTTATTTATTTGTTATATTTATTTTGGTCACTTTTCTGGTCTCTTTAGTTTATTCTTTGTCAGTATTTAATAACATAACTCAGGTCTCTTAAGTTATTTTTCTTTAAAACAATTCTGTTATAGTTAAAAAAGTTGGTTAAATAAAGATTTAATTCGAAGTCTGTGTTTGTGTTTTTTATTAAAATTAAATCATTTAGCAATATTATAAAAATATATATATTTTTTATTGTATCTACCTAGGTCGAAATGCTTGTGTTTGTTTTGTTTTGATACATTAGCACCATATTTGTTGATTTATGTGAAGCAAATACTGTCAAGTTGTGTGGTTTTAGAGGACCCAAATGCACAGATGGAAGCTGAGGAGGTTTCTTGCCGATTTGAGCAAAAAAGTAAAAAAACAAAAAACAAAATCCAAAGTCCAGAACTGATTGATATTGGAAACTAAAGAACCAAAAAAGCTAGGAGACACAAGAGAGGAATTAACCAAAATAATGACGAGGATCCGGCACAGAGTAACTGAAAGGGAGGGGTAAGTATTGGAGACAGAAACAATGGGAGAACTAATTAGCTGATAGGGAGCAGGTGTAGACAGACGTAACTAGAAGGAGCTAAGGGAAAGGAGACTGGCACAAGGGGGCAACAGAAAGTAACTTAAAAATTAAATTGCTGCTTAAATATAAGAGAAAATGAAAAAGAAAAACGATGATCAAGAAAATACAGAATAACATAAGTCAAAGTGTAACTGAGTATTTACGTTGTTGCACCCTCTATTTGCCATCGGTTGTTTTTTCTTTGATTTGTTAACAACTGCTTGTTTTCTGTTTAAAGTAAGACCTGTGTAACATCTGTTTTCATTGCGCAAATGTGAATGGAAGAAAGTCATATAAATGGAGGATGAAAAAGCAATATTGGCTTCAAAATATGTCTTTCCCAATAATTGGTAGCATATATCAGGGGATAGGTTTTATTGATAGGGATTACTTCAAGAAAATAATCTGTAACAAACATGACATCCTTATTTCAAGGGACGTCTCACTGATTTTATCATCTGCTCCTGGAGTTTTGGATTTG